TATATATATATATATATATATATATATATATATATATATATATATATATATATATATATATATATATATATATATATATATATATATATATATATATATATATATATATATATATATATATATATATGTGGATGAATGGGAGGAAAACAGAGTCTGATACAAATTCGCAGGCCTGACACAAATCCGCATATAAAAAAGCCAAATTCCAGCTTTTCACCTGATTGGTCTATCAGACAAAAAAGGGGTAAATTTTTTATTAGTTAATGCATTTTAGGAAATATTATTGTTCATGACATATTTTGTAGTTGTAGCTATACTTAGATTGTTGTTATTATAATGTGAAATTGGCATTTCCCCTGGGACATTTTGATTGGATACCAAATATAAACTTTACTTGAGCTGGAGAGCGACCAGATTAAAGTTTGTGTCGGACTCTAGTCACCTCGCCTTCGGCGAATAATTGTTACTGTCGATGCAATAGAAGTGTTGATAAAATATTCCACCAATTCCTTTCCTCAAGTTGATCAATTCGTTTGATAAAAAATTGATCAACTTCCTGTTACTTCTAGATGAGCCAATTAGATTTCGTTTCAAAACCGATTGACCAATAGGAAACGCACATGAAGTAAAAAGAAATTTGAATTCGTATATGAATTGATCAACTTGAGGAAATAAATTGATGCAGTATTTTATCAACACTTCTATTGCATCGACAGTAAATATATCGAGTGTAGATGCCCCAAATCCTGATATTTATCTATATATTTTAGCTACTCTTCGGCATCATTTAAACATAATCGCAAGGTAGGTTTTTTATCTTGTAGTAACACTGCACTTTTAATACAGTAGCGATGCTGAGGGACAGTGGCTCTTACAGTCTTACTGGAATATTATATACCCTTGCTGGAATATTATATACCTCAAATTCAAATTGTCCAATAAAAAACATGCAGCATTTGTACCACGTAACAATGTGATTTTTTATGGTATTTCACTCAAGTTGATAATTTCGCAATGCAGCGTGAGATACTATAATATCGCATGGTAGATCTACCGTGGGATATTATAGGTTATAATATAGCCATTTGTAAATTCTGAACGCTGACTGATATAAGAGCCGTGCTGATATAAGAGCCGTGCTGATATAAGAGCCGTGCTGATATAACTCAATGTCAACACGGAAAATTTCTTTCTTCATATATTTCTCTGCGCTATATTATAAAAAATATATAAAACATTTTTCCGTGTTGATATATGGCTTCGTGAGCAAAGCCCCTCGGGAAATATCGTCACTTCGTGTAATACTTCGCCGAATCCCCCTCGCTCCAAGTCTTTAAATGATAAAAAGGCAAGAACAGTTTAAAAGTGATATTTAGAGCTTTCCATGAGGTAAGACTGAATAAAATCAGATTCGTTTTCATTTATATTCCTGCATGCATGACAGTATTATAGATTACATTTTATAATTCTGATTAAAAATTAAGTTATAAAAAGTTTGGCAATTCACTTTTTGCTTCACGCCTCATTGATATTGCCAGTGTTACATACTAACAATAATACTTATAACAATAGTCAAGGTTTTATAATTCAAGTATATACGATTCCAAGTTAGGTAATTCAAGGTGATACAGTTTAAACGCAGATTGTGAAATATACCATTAATAAATCCAGTTCCGAAAGTTTAGGTTCTCAAACTAGATTAAAATATAATGTACTTTTATCGAACTTTACTTGGTCAAATTCAAACACGTTTTCTGAGGGACTACATAGAAAATGTCCTTATGTATAGATTATGTTTCCGCCCTTCCTAACGATAGCAGTTGGACCACTTGGATGAGATGTAATCCGAGGAAAATCTTCACTGTCATTAAAGCAGAACTTCGAGGTCTCCAGTTCACCTTCTTTACAGTAATAATGGAGGGAAAAGGAATTTTTGCCGCTGACTTTGGATTTGACAATTTAGTATCATACGATCGACAAAGTGAAATGCCATTCCGCGGACCAAGTGATCTGGTGGTAGTTCTATTTTCAACTTTCGATTTCCCTCTTCTGTATATATTTCAACAACATTTTGTGATGCCAACATGATTTCATTATTGTCTGAAACATTCATGTTGCCTAGATTAGAAATTTTGTGTTCAAACTTGTATTTTAACTGCCCAGTGTGGTCACAGACGTAGACAGCGTGGTCATGGTCGTCGGAAATGATTGGTGTCATTACAATGTTATTGTTCTTGTTTATAGCTAATCTCAGAGATATCTCGTGTGTTGGAAGAAAATTTAATTCGCTTTTGTATGTTACACAATTGCAATGCTCATCCAGTATATATAATACTGCACGACTATCCACATTGCCATTTTGTGAAGTTGTTTCACAATATAGTACAACATACACATTATTTTCTTGATCAACAGCGAGACCTACAATTCGTTGTTCGATAACCTCCTCTTCTTTATCCTCTCTGCTCGAAACAGAAAATTGATGGACAACTTTTCTTTCGCCTGTTCTGGAGATGACTGCAATGTCATTACGATGCGCTACGACTATCTCACCCCGACTGTTTACAGCAGAATTGTACGGATCGATCTTTCTATCGAGTTTCGTTTCGTTGGGAGGTTGGATCAATTCTTTGCCCCAAGACGTTCTTTTCGAAACTTCCCGCCAATCCGTTATTGGGTTAAATTTGCGACCAGAGAGTTGAATTGTTGGCCAGGCGAATGCTGTATACTTGCTGCTGAATTTCGAAACAAATTGATATAAAACGTAGTTGATCATCGTGACTGATTTTATGTTCTCAACTCGTTCAGTCTTACTGAAGATGCCCTTAACTCCACGATCGAGATACACCGAGAATATCTCGCGAACGGTGGGTAAATCATGAAGCTGTTTTAAAAACGACAGGCACGTAGTAACAGCTGTGTTAGGCTTGTCGAGACATTTCAGTATCTCCGACACGACACGGAGTTTCGCTGCGAAGATTCGGTCTTGAATATCCAATGCTTCGTTAGAATAAGCCTCGGTTGCTTTCTTACGGGCATCTTTGAATCGTTTGTTCGCAGTTTCAGACTCGTTTGACACGATCTTTAGCTTCCCCATGACGTGAGAAAGTTCGAAAGCTTTGTTCAAGACATCTGCTGATTTGTCACCGCTCGACATTCTAGACGTTTCACGGCTTTCACCGTGATCATCTTGAGTTTCGCTTTGCACAGCTTTCTGCTCGTCCTTCCACTTATCCAGAGAAGCAATCAGTAACTCTATGCCCTCTCGTAGAAACCTGCGGCTGGCGAGCAGATCTTTTCGTGAGAGACCGTCAATTTTGGTTTTGACGTCGTCGAGTAATATCACCGTCCTTCAGCTTTTTAGCAGTCGCATCTCGGGCTTTGTTCCCGAATAATTCAATCAATGTGACAATCGAAGACAAGTTATATAAACTATTGTATTAATACCTATAACCTTTTGTGCCGCTTGAAGGAGTGTTGTCAACTGAGAAATTTTAGATGAAGCAATGTTTATTTATGCTTGTTAAATTATGCGAAAAGGTGTGTTTAAGAAGGGTGTAGTTTGAATGAGGTTTGTTTTAGAAAGGATGTTGTTTGATTGAGGTACGTGCTTGAGGTGCGGTTTGAGTTTGAAAGAGGCTTGTGTTAGAAAGGGTGGGTAACACCACGGTCAAACATCAGGTTCACGTATACAGAAATGGCGCCAGGGAAAGTGTCTGCCAAAATAATAGATGAATACGTGAAAAGGAAAGCGTTTACTATAAGGAAACGGCTGAAGCTGTAAGGTAGGGAATTCCACCGCTTTTTCCTTGTGTCAAAACGAAGTTATAATGATGCTTGTGATGTTACTCCGAGCGCATATCCACACCGGACTCGGAGTAACATCACAACATCCTGAGTACATTACACCAACACAGAAAAAATCGAAGTTATAATGAGTTTAAACTCTCGTAATTTTCTTTAAACATTTTGCTGAAGCTTCGTGAAGACGAGACCATTCCCAATTATCAATTATACAATGAATTCTTGGTACGGGGACGTTTGACTGCGGTGTTGATGTGTTGGAGGGTCCTTGAACTTTTGAATATAAATTAATAATATCCAGACAGACCAATAAAGCTAATGGGGAAACTCAGGGGCGGCGCTACAGGGGTGTGTGTGTGTGTGTGGGGGGGGGGGGGGGGGAACACCCCCCCCCCCCCCTT